CGGTCGATTGTGTGTTTCGAATGTTGCAGGGCTTCAACATCGAATTATGGAAGAGGCACATCATTCCCGTTATTCTATTCAGCCTGGTTCGACGAATATGTACCATGATATTAAGGAGATTTATTGGTGGCATGGGATGAAGAAGGACGTTACTGAGTTTGTGGCGCATTATCCTAACTGCCAACAGGTGAAGGCTGAGCACCAAAATCCCGCTGGTGTAGTTCAGGAGATAGCCATTCCTTTGTGGAAGTGGGAAGCAATTAATATGGATTTTATTACAGGGTTACTTCGATCGCATCACAAGTTTGACTCTATTTGGGTAATTGTTGATAGACTAACAAAAGCAGCCCACTTTTTACCAGTCAGGGCTACTTTTTCGGCCAAAAACTATGCATGGCTCTATATTAGAGAGATTGTAAGGCTACACGGTGTCTCAGTATCTATTATTTCTGATAGAGGAGCACAATTTACCGCCAATTTCTAGAAGTCCTTCCAGAAAGGATTAGGGACACATGTTAATCTTAGTACCACCTTTCACCCTCAGACAGATGGCCAAGCTGAGCGCACAATTTTGACACTCGAAGATATGTTACGGGCGTGCGCGCTGGACTTCAAGGGAAGTTGGGATGACCACTTGCCTCTTATTGAGTTCGCATACAATAACAGTTATCATTTCAGCATCGGGATGACACCTTATGATGCTTTGTATGGGAGAAAATGTAGATCCCCATTGGATGGTTTGAGGTAGGTGAGTCAGGGTTGATTGGACCTGACTTAGTCCAACAGACAGTGGATAAAGTTAAGCTTATTCGGGAGAGGCTGTTAACAGCTCAAAGCTGACAGAAGTCATACTCAGATGTGCGACGAAGGGACTTAGAGTTTTGTGTTGACGACTGGGTATTCTTAAAAGTCTCGCCTATGAAGGGTGTTATGCGATTTGGCAAAAAAGGAAAGCTTAGTCCAAAATTCATTGGGCCAGATCCTTCGGAAGGTAGGACGAGTTGCTTATGAGTTAGAATTGCCTTCGGGGCTAAAATCTGTTCATCCAGTTTTCCATGTATCGATGCTACGGAAATGCGTAGGAGACCCTTCTCGGGTTGTCCTAGTTGAGGATGTTCAGATCACAGAGGAGTTGTCCTACGAGGAAACTCCAGTTGCCATTTTAGATCGGCAAGTCAGTAAATTGAGGACCAAAAAGGTGGCTTCGGTTAAAGTATTGTGGAGGAACAAGAATAGAGAAGAGGTGACCTGGGAAGCTGAGGATGGCATGAGGTCTAAATATCCTCATTTGTTTCATACCTAGGGTGATGGCATATCAGTTTATATTAGGACAGTAAGGTAAGATACCTATCTAATTTATATATATATACAGTATTGCTTATTATTATTGTGGTTGTCATTGTATATCTGTTTGCACTGTTATGGTGGAGCTATAACGCTTAGCTATTTATGTCGTCATGTGAGACGCCTAGGTTAGAAATTTTGCATTTTAGGTTCTTGGATACTGACATCTATAAAGGATACACTGCCTAACTTTTGGCAACTCCTAAGGACTGAACAACGTGACTCATATTTTTCATTCGAGCACGAATGTTTCTAAGGGGGGAATGATGTAACACCCCGACTTTTCAAAATGTCTAAATTAACTCGTATCTTTGTGGAAAGACAAAGAGAGTGAGTAATAAATTAAAAATGATGTGGTATGTCATATTTTAAGTGTTCAAAGATTATATCTCAAGTTTTGAAGTTAAGTAAGTGGTGAAATAAAAGTTGGCGGAAGTTATCGTAAGTTCCTTTTTAAGATTTCTCTGAAATTTGGGTCAAATGTCTTGGAGATTTTCTCCCAATATATAAAGAGTTATGGGGCCCACAATCTATCGAATCGAAGGTCTACAAGTCTAGTTTCCAACGCATTAAACTGTTTGATCATACGACTTCAGAATAGAGAGATATTTGCGTTTTTGTGGGACTGCGCAAGCAGGCACGTGAGGTGGGGCCCTAGGTCGGTGGAACTTTACATATATCTTCTTCTTCGAACTTTTTCTTCATTTTAGCTAAAAAGCAGAGAAAAATAGAGAAACCCATTTCTAGGATCAACTAA